TGAGCCAAACCAGGGAACTGAACCCAATACTCCCTATCTCAGCTCAAGGCTCTCCTCTCCAGTGCTAAAGTCAGACTCTTGCTCCCTCACTAACTGCTTAATTAGTTTCTACAATTTTCCACCGAGAAGGGATTTAAAGAATCCACATCCCTGCTCCAAGCAAGGGGCCTTTCCTGGGATGGGCACCCCCACGGATGGATGCCATCACCCACCCCGAGGACCTCTGGGGAGATGATTTTACCTCTGTGGGTTTGACTAGAAACCCAGGCTTGCTCCCAGAAAACCATTCCAAGCAACATTTCGTGGAAACTGGTTCTTTGCTACCAAAAAGAAAAAAAAAAAAATCTGGTTTTGCCAAAGTGACATTTTCTGACCCAAGAAAACATTTTGTCAAAAAGCTTCCCAACCACTCTGCTGGGAATGTGCTCTTTGCCATCAGTCCCCAAGGCTGGAGCGCCGGGGTGTTGAAATGTTACTACAGCCCTGGAAACTGTGAGTCAGCTTGTCCCCACCCACAGCAGATACTCGTGGGAAGGGCCTTGGAAAGCCTGGAAACTCAGCAGCTCCTGCCTTGTGCAGTTCCCATTAACCCATTCACATTAATTCCTGATGAAATGCAGCATTTGGCCAATTCCTGCTGGATTTTGCCTCTTTTTTCTCCTTCCTGGTGGTGATGAATTTTGGAGGACATTTAATTTCAGTCCATCCCTAAGCAATTTGGCTGCTTTGCCCCCAATTTAGGCAGCAGATGCAGCCCCAGCACAGGGCCACAGCAGGATTTGGATGGGAGGGAGTTGGATGAAAGGTGCCAGAGCAGAGCTGGCCCCTGGGCTGTACCCACCTGGGCATTCCCTGGCCAGGCAGAGGCTCCTGCACTGATGTCCCCACACATCAGGACAGGGCTGAGGGTGATGCTGCACCTCTGCTCCAGATCCAGGCTGGGAGAGCTGGGAATGTTCACCAGGAGAAGGGAAGGCTCCAGGGAAACCTTAGAGACCCTTCCAGGGCCTGAAGGGGCTCCAGGAGAGCTGGAGAGGGACTGGGGATGAGGCATGGAGGGACAGGACACAGGGACAGTGAATGGCTCCCACTGCCAGAGGGCAGGGGTGGATGGGATATTGGGAATTAGGAATTGTTCCCTGGGAGGGTGAGCAGGCCTGGCACAGGGTGCCCAGAGCAGCTGGGGCTGCCCCTGGATCCCTGGGAATGTCTAAGGCCAGGTTGGACACTGGGGCTGGGAGCAGCCAGGGACAGTGGGAGGTGTCCCTGCCATGGCAGGGTGGCACTGGATGGGCTTTAAGATCCCCTCCAAACCAAACCATTGCAGGATTTTGTGCCCCAGGAGAGTTGGCAAGGTGTGGTTACATCCCATGGGAAGGGTTTTGCCAAGGCTGCAGCTCCTCCAGGATGGGGGCACAGCCTGAGCTGCTGAGGTGAGATCACATCTCTGCACAAAGGGTTTTGAGATGCCAAGGAGCTCTGTGAGCCTGGAGTCCAGCAGCTGGGAAATACTCCATGGAGGAAAATTCTTCAAACATAATTTTTTTAATACTTTGTATTTATCAAAATGCCTCATTCTGATTTTAGCTTTTTCCATTTTGAAGAGGGTCCAAGGTCCTATCACAGTGTGTTACCACACAGGGTATAACATTTGCAAGAGCAAAATGAAAAGTCAGTTTGAACTGGAAAATCATGGCAATGTCATGAAAACAAAGGAAACGGGACATTCTGATGTTGTCAAAACCTTTTTTCTCTGGTTCCTTTCAAAATCAGCTTCCAGCAAAACCAGCAGGATTTTATGAGGCATTTTAGTTTTTGGCAGGGCCCCTGGCTCTGGCGCAGCAGGTTTGTGGTGGTTCCTCTGGCTGGGCTCAGACACTCTGAGCCCCCATTCCTGGAGGGAAAAGGGGGTGCAATGTGTCCCCCAGCCCTCCCCACCCCTTGGGGGTCCCCATCTGCCCCCCATTTTCAAGGCATTAAAATAACCTACAAGTCGAGCCCCTACAACATTATTTAAGTGTCAGTTATTCATTTTGTATTTTAACTCCTGCGTTCTTTTTTTTCATCAGGAATGTATCAAATACTAGAGATTTTTTTTTTTAAAGAAGCAGAAAATGATGATATTCATTTTCCTTACTGAACACCTGGAGTGCCACAGTCAGGGCTTGGGCTCTACTGATGCTTTTGAGGGGGCTGGCAATGGCAGGGCTGCTCCCTGTCCCCCTTTTTTCCCCATTCCAGCTGCAGTTTGGCTTTGGGAAGAGGTTGGTGCCCTCCTGGCCACCCACGGTCCTCTTGGACCCAGGAGGATTTGGCTTTCTGTCATACCTGGGAGATCCATGTCAGATAACACTGGCAGGCTTTCAAAAGCTTCTCTCCAGCTTCCCTGCCAAGACCTATAGGATGTGTTCCAGAGCATCTCCCAGGAATGTTTGTTATTATGACAGGCAAAAAAAAAAAAAGGGGGGAGGGAGGTAAAAAAAAAAGGCAGTGAAAGAGGACATTGCTGTTAATCACTAGCAATCCTTTAATAACCAACATTACTATAAATTATACGTGCATTGTGTTGGGCACAATCGAGGGCTCTGTTCGGGCTGCCCACGTTGGGGCAGGAACAGGAACAATGTGCTGTTGTTGCAGGGGCTGGGATGGATGGCACTGCGGGTGGAATGGGGCTGCTCCTGCATACCTGTGCCCGTGGAGATGCTGGGCTGCTCCAGATCCCATGAAAGCCCCATTGTTCTTGCTGCCATCTTGCACACTCCATGATTACAGAGCGTTGGATGAGCGCTGAGACGTCGCTGCTTGGAATAATAACCTATTCTTAGCTCGAGCAGTGCTATATTTAAGATTTATATATATTTAAATGCTGGTAATTGCACATTTGGGACATATTGTAATTTGGGTGACAGCTTGGAAAGACGGCGGTGGGAAGAAAAGCATCAGCTGCGTTCAGGGAGGTGAATCCGGGGGTCAGGCAGGGCAGGGTGATCTGTGGGGATTTTAAACAAGGGTTGGGACCTCTCTGGAGCAGCCTGGATGGGCAGGGATCCCACCAGGGTTGGAAATCCATCTCTGGAAGCGTCCAAAACCAGGCTGGACAGCGCTTGGAGCAATCTGGAACAGTGGAAGGTGTCCCTGCCCGTGGTAAGGGGTGAAACCAAATGAGCTTTAAGGTCCCTTCCAACCCAAACCATTGCATGATTCCACGAGATCCAGGAAATCCCAGTTTCTACTTCCATGTCTGAACCTGGATTTATTTTTTTGTAGCCCTTTTGTGCCTTTTCACTGTGAAAAAAGGCATTTCCCTCCCACAGCGGGGTGCTAGGTAACTTCAGCCCAAACTGTGTGAAAGGTGGCTGCAGTGTCAGGGGCAGCAGGTCCCTCACAGGTTTTATAGGAGCTTTTACATCCTTAACCAGGCAAGCTGCACATTTCCTAAACCCCACTCCAAAATGGCAGGGAAAAGGAGCTTTGCCCCTGGTCTTACAGCTCAGAAGTGACCCCAAAATGGAAAGATCTATTTACATTCTGTGTTCATATTGGTGCAAACATTGGTGGCACACACCTGTGGATTTTAAATGGAATATTTGATGTTGCAATGATTAGGTTTGCTGTAAAAAAAAAAAAAAAATGTAGTCTTCATCCAGTAGATTAAAATTATATTCTGGAGTGGATTAGGGCAGGTCTGGGGAAATGTGGACAGAAATGTGGACAGAAGCTTTTAGGTATGGAAAAAGCCACCCAAAAGATTCCAAGAGAAAAACTACAAGCATTCAGGTTGCCCAGAATCTGTTGGTAGAAATAATTTCATTGATTTGGTTTTGGGTGGTTTTTCCCTTAACTGATCAGCTGCTGGGGGATTAATTGCCCAGATTAATTTTTTGCTCATTAGCGAAGCCTTCAGGCTGGCCCCAAGCTTTTCCTCCAGCAGTTTCCCACCGACCCATCCCGGGCTGGGGGAACTTCCCTCCGCATCCCCGGGATGGAGCGAGGATGGCCCTGCTCCGAGCCCCGGCACTCGCTCCCCTGGGCGCAGGGGAATGGCTGTTTTACATTCATTTATTTATTTATTCTGTATTCTGGGCAGGGTTATTGCGATGGGTGCCATCCCCGGGGTGCCGCTCCCCACGGGCACTGTGTCGCCGTGGGGCGGGACACGAGGCCGCCGCTCCCGGCGCTCCCGGCGGCGCTGCTGGTAGGCCGGGCCGGTCCCTGTCCCCCCGTTCATCCCCCCGTTCATCCCCCCGTTCAGGGAGACGGCGGCGCCGCTCGTCACGCGGCCGCGGGCCAATAGCAGCGCGCCGGGCCTGAACTTTTGCCACGGCGGACAAGTTGATACATCGCGGGGGTGTGTCCGGCGCGCGGCCCGCGGGGGGGGCGCGTTAACCCCCGCGCTGCCGTGACCTACTTTCACAGCGCCCCGCTCGCCCACCCCCCGGCCCCGCTCGAGCCGGTGTTTGCGCAAGGGCCGGTGCCGCGCGGAGCCGCCGGAGTGTCTAGACTGGCACATGATGGGCGGCAGCCAATGGCGGCGCCGCTCGCGAGGGGCCCCGCGCGCGCGCCCCGGCCACACAAAAGCCGGCGAGGGGCGGGCGGGCGTGAGCGGGCGGCGGCGGCGGCCCCGGGAGCCGCGCACGGAGCGCGGGGACCCGCCGGACCGGGGCCGCGCCCTGCGATGCGGACAAGGGACGCGCTGACAACCGGCCTGCGCTGCGGGCTCTGCTGCTTCTTCGCCTTTCTGATTTAATTTTTTTCCCTTTTTTTAATACTATTTTTGGCTGAAGGGATCCGACGCCTCAGAGCGGCCCCCGGCGCCGGTTCCCCGCCGGGCGGCACCCCCGCGCCGGGAGCGCTTCCCCGCTCCTCCCCACCTTGTATGGTGGAGCGGCCGCGGGGCGCAGCCGAGCGCTGCCCCGGGTTCCCCCCGGCCCTCGCCCCCGCCGCTCCCCGCCCGGCCCCGCGTTGGCAGCCGATGTAGGGCACGGCNNCCGCCCCGCCGCCCCCCCCATGGTGCGGCCCCGCCGCGGGCCGTCGGAGATCCGCTGGGCAGCAGCGCCGCGGGGAGTCCGGGCTGCTCCGGGGCTGCGATGAGATAGAGCCGGCGGCGGAGCGAGGAGCCCCGCGGAGGAGGGCGGGGGGCGGCGGAGAGCGACGCGACCCCCGGCCGCCCGCGGGTCGTATGTTCAGGTCCAAACGCTCAGGGCTGGTGCGGCGACTTTGGAGGAGCCGCGTCATTCCGGACAGGGACGGCGGAGATGGGAGCGCCAGGAGCGGCCACGACCTCGGAGCCACCGGCAGCTGCAAGATCGCGGAGAAAAGCCCCTCGGCGGAGCTCCGCGCGGTAGCGCGCAGCCTGCTGCTGCGGGAGCCGGAGGAGCGGCGCGGGGCGGCGGGCGAGGCGGCGCCGCGCGGGGACCCCATGGCGGAGCGGCGCGGGGCCCGGCTCCGCGCTGCTGCTGGAGCAGGAGCTGAAGGCCGTCACCTACTCGCTGCTGAAGCGGCTGAAGGAGCGCTCGCTGGACAGCCTGCTGGAGGCGGTGGAGTCCCGCGGGGGGATGCCCGGCGGCTGCGTCCTGGTGGCCCGCACCGAGGTGCGCCTGGGGGGCCTGGCGGCGCCCCCGCACCTCCTCCTGGGCAAGCTGTTCCGCTGGCCCGACCTGCAGCACCCCGCCGAGCTGAAGCCCCTCTGCGAGTGCCAGAGCTTCGGCGTCGCCGACGGACCCACGGTCTGCTGCAACCCCTACCACTTCAGCCGCCTCTGTGGGCCAGGTGAGCAGCGGCGAGCTGGGTCCGTGCCCCCCTCCCCGCCACAAACGCGCACCGATTTGGGGGTTCGGGCTTTCTGACCCCTTGCTGGGTTTATCCGAACCCTCGTGGGCAGCGCTGCCCCGGCCCCGCGGTGTTGCGGGGATGCCCCGGGGGACGCGCCTGCTCCGGGGTCCCCGCCGGGCATCCCCCCTCTCTCGGAACCAGCGCTTCCAGTTGTGCGTAAAAAGCCCTTTCTCTTTATTGGTTTTTTCCCCTTCCCGCGGAGTTTCCCCGCTCTCCGGGAGCCGGACGGGCGATAATCGGCGCCTCCATCCCGCTGGCGCCAGCCTGGCTCGCTCGTATCGGAGCCGGGCGGTCACCGCCGCCGGCTTAAAGCCGCAGGCGCTTCGGGGGGGCTGCGGGGATGTCCCCGCCGCGGGGATCCCCGGACCCGCGGGGACATCGGGGGCTGCTGCAATTCTCCAGGGTTTCTATTTTTTTTCTTTTTTTTCTTTTTTCTTTTTTTTTATTTTTTTTTTTTTTTTTTTTTTTTTTTTTTTTTTAGTTTTGTTTTACCGTGGGCAGAGATTGAGCTTTTTCAAGGCGTGGGTTTGAGCTTGTTGAGGGGTTTTTTGTTTCTTTCAGCAATACTCGATCGTGTGTCCATGTCAGCAGGGAATGGTTACATGGAGCAGAGGCGTGTTGAAATTTGAGGTGCAGAAATGGAAATAATAGGCTGTACAAAAACTGTAATGAAAATGGACAGCTGGATTCCCACTGCCAGAGGGCAGGGTTAGATGGGATATTGGGAAGAAATTCTTCCCTGGGAGGGTGGAGAGACCCTGGCACAGGGTGCCCAGAGAAGCTGGGGCTGCCCCTGGATCCCTGAGAGTTCCCAGGCCAGGTTGGATGGGGCTTGGAGCAGCCTGGGATAGCGGAAGGTGTCCCTGCCCATGGCAGAGGTGGAACGAGATGATTTTTAAGGTCCCTTCCTACCCAAACCATCCTATGATTCTATGCTGACTGTCCATCTTTTTGGCAAGAACTTTGATTTTATTATTTCTGTTGCAATCTGGGCTCCTGCCTCGCTTTGCATCACTTCTTTCAAAGAAACTTCTCTTCTGGGCGTGCTTCTCCCCAAGGTCGCTAGAGGCTGGAGGCAGCTTTTTTCCTCCAGTTGGAGCTGAGCTGCGTTTTTAGGAACGGGGCATTTCTTTTAGAAACGGGAGAAGTTTCCCAGTGCCTTTCCCGCAGCCGTGGTGGTTTTTCCCAGCGGTGAGCGGCTGCCAGCCCTGTGCTGGGAGTAGTAGAAAGCAGAGCTGTTATCAAGTGGCTCCTTATCACCTTGATAACGGGTGACTGTGCCAGGACCCACCCGCGCCGGCTGGGCGCTGGTAACAGGAGCCGGGAGAAGGCCTTGATGCCCTTTTTCCACAAGTGGCTCCCTGCAGGGATCATCCTGTTTGGTGTTTCCCACCCAATTTGCCGTGGGGTGTGAAAGTTTTGGGGTGCTTCCAACGAGTCCCTGGTGACAGCAGGTGTGGGACCAGCACAGCCACGTCCTGCTGTCACCTCCACACAGGGACAGCAGTACCTTTATTTTTTTTTTTTAATGTTTTGGGATTTATAAGCACCCTGTGAGAAGAGCACTCTGCTCCCATAGGGGGAATGGGGAAGCTTTTTTGAGAAGCAGTAGATGACCCCAGAGCCATCACACGGGGAATGCTGAGGTGCTTTTTGGGGAACCCAGCCGGGCTGAGCTGCAGTTCTGGCTGGGTGCTCTCAGGTCCGGGTGGGGGCTGAGGAGCACTCCCATGTTTCCCTGCCACTGATGGACTTCACAGAGCAATTTCTCACTGGAGTCGGTGCCTGCTCAGTGCTGATGCAGCCCAGCAGGCTGCACACTCAGTTTTGGCAAGTTACCATTCAAGAAACATCACTGTCACACTATGAAAAAGGAAAAGAAATCACTTTAATCAGGGCCTGGGGTTTCCCCGTGGTCTTGACCCTTCTAGGAACAGCGAGAGCTGGTTGAATGACCTGGTCCAGCAAAGCACCTCTGAGCACTTGCTGGACTTGGAGCACAGGACTGCCCAGTGCTGCTGCTCAGAGCTGAGCTCAGGAGCTCTGTGGGATGGATTCAGGGTGAGGGGCATCACGGTGGCCTCTGCTCCTGAGCCACAAAGTGCCAGGGCCTTTTGGGATGGACTGAAGTTACTGGGATGGCTTGGTGGCTGAAGCCAGCCTGGCTCTGGTGCCAGCCCTGTGTGCCAAGAGGAGCCTTCTCATCACCCAGGCCTGCTTTTCAGTGCTTGGGAAGTGTTTGGGGGGCACTTGTCATGCCCTGTGTGTTGTACTCACCCGTGGAAGGTTGTCCCCCAGTGCAGATGATGGAAATGGGGTTGCTGGGCAGCAATTTGATGTTTTGTGTGACTCAATCTGTGGGTGTCCAGGCACAGATATGGGGCACAGGGGTGCAGCATTTTCAGTAGCAAAGCCCACTTTGAAAGTTCAAGGTGGAACTCCCATTGTTCAAAAATTAGGGAAACCTTGGTCTCCAGTTGCTTCCAAGTGTTTTGTTCTCCACTGGGTGTTTATAACCTTGGAAGAGTTCCTTCCCCAAAAGAGAAAGCGAGAGGGTTTGTTGATAAACCGAACACAGCACTAACCTGAAGTTTTGTTTTTCCAGAGTCTCCACCACCTCCCTACTCTCGGCTGTCTCCTAATGATGAGCAAAAGCCACTGGGTACGTCTTTTGTCTCTTTTGATCTCTGGGGAACTCTTTCATGGTGCAGCCCTGGTGCTGCTTCTGAGACAGCCCTACCTGGCACGCCAGGCAAAAGCCAACAAGTCGGGGTTTTATGGCTGCTCATTATTTCTGAGCAAGCATCAGCTGACGGGTTTTAAGAAGTAAATGGATGCCAGTTTATCCTACCAAATTACCGTGTAGACACATGCATATTTTCCAAAATAATATGAAGCTCTATTTTTAATGAAGGCGTAATGAAAGGTTACCAGACGTCATGTTTTGTCTGCGTGTGTAATCTGCGGGAGTGGGAGCTCCTGGGTGCCATTTCCATAAGGGCCTGGCTGTGCTGCTCCATGGAGGAACCAGCTATTACCCTTCCTCTGCTCCTTACAAAGAGATGGAAAGCCTTTGAAACTTGGCTCTGTGTTGTTTCTGAGTGGGGTGTCACTTTTCCTGGGGAATTGTAAAAGGTTTTCCAAGCAGAGTGGGTGAGAGCAGCTTTGGGGTGGCTAGGCTGGGTGTGGAGTGCAGGATGCTGGCTGCTGGCAGCCCCTTGGATCCTGGTCCTGTGTGCTGCACGTTGGCCTGGAGATGTTTTGAGCTGGCATCGCTGCATCCTCACCATCCTTGCTCAGCCCTGCTTCTTGTGTAATTAAATGGGGAGCAGAGACCTGGGAGCATGAGGGGGAAGGGAGGAATCCCACATCCCTCTTGGATTTCTTGCTGGGATCGGTGCAGCTGGAGCCTTTCTCCCTTTATCCCGTGCTCAGTGATTTACCGGCGTTAATGACCAGGGGGAGCTGCTTTTGCTGCCATGGGGCAGGGACAGGGAGGAGACAAACGGGGTTTGGCAGGGATAGGAGGGGACAGCAGTGCCTGCCTGTCCCACCCAGCCCCGGGGGAAGGCAGGAGCTGCCCCTGCCAAGGTGAGTCCCTGCCCTGCCAGGCCTGGGAGCAGCTCAGCCATGTGTGCACCCCGTGCCCGGCGCCTTCATCGCCACAGGGCTGTGACCAGAGCAGCCTGCAAGGCCAACTTGGCTGCTGGTGGCTTTTTTTTTTTCTTTTTTTTTTTTTTGTTAGGTGTGGAGGGAAAAAAAAAAGGAGTTGTCCCTCCCTGCACTCCCCCTTCCAAGTTAATTCCTTTTGGAAACTGCTTGTGCTGCAGGGAGAGATGATAGTGAGCGACACGTGACTTTATTAAAACAACAGCCAGGGGTTGAAATTTGCTTCACTGGCTTGTTTGATTGGAAAAATAATAGTTAATCTGTGAGCAAACAGTTGAGCACTTAATTAGAGGGGTGTAAGCAAGAGAGAATAACAAAGACTCTTAACTTGTTAAAACAAAGTTTCCTTCGCTTCAGCAAAGAGGAAGGAAGGAAGCAAGAATAAACAGCTTCAAGAATTTTAATGGTGATAATTAAGTATAGTAACTCTGACTTGTTTAGAGGCTTAATGTAACTTTATCCAGTAAGCACCAAGTTCCTACTTGTTTGATCAACTTAACTGGAGTTATTTTTGTGGTCGAGGCAATTCAAACTTTGCATTTGCGTGGTGGAGCTACAAAGTTAATGGCTGCTTTCTGGCTCTGAGGAGAGTTTCTCTCGGGGAGGTGGTGGGAAGCCCAGCAGCCACGGGTGCTCACGTAGTGCTGGCAAACGCAGCAGGACTAAAAGTGCCTTTTTTTTTTTTCCTTTTTCTCCCCCTCAGATCTATCAGATTCCACGTTGTCTTACACTGAAACAGAGGCTACAAACTCTCCCAACGTCACGCCCGGAGATTTCTCAGGTTGGCAGCTCTTGGTGCCGTTCCTTGCCATGGGGGGCTGGTGGTGGGGCAGGACAGCAGGAGGGGACAGGGGTCCTGATCCTGCTCTTGGTTTGTGCTCTGGGTGTGAGGAGAAGGACAAAAAGAGCAGTTGTTGGAGTTGTTTTTTCACAGAAGTCTGTGCTCTGCACGTTCTGATAAGATACTGTTTGTGGGGTGAGCAGGGATGTTTGGAGGTGGCCACAGGGCCACGGTGTCCCGTGTGGAGGCCCCAGGATGGATCCCAGGCTGCAGGGCCATGGCTGCTGTGGGGCTGGGCCCTGGGCCCTCCCCATGTCCATGGCAGGGCCCTTCAGAGCTGCTCTGGGGCCATGGCTGCTGTGGGGCTGGGCCCTGGGCCCTCCCCATGTCCATGGCAGGGCCCTTCAGAGCTGCTCTGGGGCCATGGCTCCTGTGGGGCTGGGCCCTGAGCTCTGCTCTCCCCATTTCCATGGCAGGGCTGTTCAGAGCTGTTTTGGGGCCATGGCTGCTGGGGGGCTGGGCCCTGGGCTCTCCCCATTTCCATGGCAGGGCTGTTCAGAGCTGTTTTGGGGCCATGGCTGCTGGGGGGCTGGGCCCTGGGCTCTCCCCATTTCCATGGCAGGGCAGCGGGGCCGTTCAGAGCTGCTGCTCTGGGGAGGTTCTTGCCGGGACCGTCGGGCTGGTGTTACCTGTTGGGCCCTGGCCCCGGGCTGCAGTCCCTGCTTTCATGAGCAGGCTCCCAGCTACGGAGCCATTGAAGATCCTGAACAAAGCTTGGCTTAATTAGGTCCTGGTTTTTGCTGTGCCCCACCCTGCAACCTTTCATTCACTTAATGGGGCTCTGCAAGGCTCGGGGTGGTTTTACCTGACAGCAGGTACAGCTGGGGCTGTCCTTCCCACATCTCTCTCCTTGGTCTCTCACCCCAGCTGGGGGCTGACTGTGGGACAGGAGGGGCCTGGCTGTAGGACCGGGTTTAATTTCTTTGCCTGGTTCATGGTCTGAGAGCTGGGATGAAGGCAGACAAACGTGGGTTTTGGTGGAGCCCCACGTGCCTCCCTCAGTGGCTGGGGTGGTGCTTGGACACCTCTGAGGCTCCTGCTTGGATTGCTGGGCACATGGATGGGATCTGCTGCTCACCTGGGGGATGTTGTGAGTCCAGGGGGATGCTGGAGGGCACCTTTGGGGCACTAGTCCCTTGGCTGTGGCATTTCTCTTCATTTTCTTTCCTTGCAAGAGTTCATGGTCCATTTGGTGAGAAGTTTGGTGAGACTTGGGCATTCCTCAGGATGTTTAGGCTGATCCCAACCCCAGAGGGTGTTCAACCAGCACAGGGTCTGTGTCATGGCATGATGGCACGTTTCCCTCTGGGGATTTTCCCTTCTCCTTGTCTTTTCAGGTGTCCCTGTGGTTGGGCCCACAGGCTTTTATTGTGCTGCCAAATGTCCAGAGCAGGGGAGCAATTGATAGCAGGACTGGGATCATTCAGCCTTGTGCTCTAATAAATGTGTTTGCAATTCCTAACAAACAATCCTAGGGCTGCATGCACATCCCTAAAGCTCCCTGTGCCCGTGGCTTTTGTTGTAACTTGATAATTGGCATTAATTACAGCAGCCAAGTTGGAAAAGTGGGGTTCCTGACGATGTAATGGTTTAGCTGCCCTCCTGGCTCAGTCTTTATGGGACATCTGGTGGGTTTGCTGGAAAGAAGAGAGATTTTAACTTTTCCTTGAACAATATAATGATAACATGTGACCAAGATTGTGCTGAAACCAGATCCCTCCTCTCCCCTGTGCTGTTTCCAATGGTGTAACTTTTAATAAGAGTCTGGGGCTGGGTGATTTATTTTTCCCCAGTGCTCACGATTGCTGAAAGAGGATAAGAGCCCTGCTGAAGTTAACCCATACATGTCATCACGGGGAAGTACAAGGGAAAAACCCACTTAGGCTCCAGTCTACCTGCCACATTTCAGTTTGTTTATTCTCCATTTCAACTCATTTAATAGCTCTGCTTGAAGTGTAGGTCTGTGGGAGTGATACACAAAGCACGTGGTCCTCCCTGCCTCCTCTTGTGTACTCAGTGTGCATTTAACTTGTCTTCCAAAAATAAGTACATTTTGGATCTAGCATCAAGCCACTGCTATTTATTCCAGCTTTGATCATCAAAAAGGCTTTTCCTACTAAAGCCACAAAATTCAATTTTGTGTAACAAAGAGAACTGTTCTTCTCCTGTTTCTCCTTTACTTGATGAACTTCTAAACAGGAGGTTTTAGCATGAAGGCAAAAGATGATCTCTGTCATATGTATTAGTTTAAAAAAATAACAAACCCTTTTTTTTTTTTGAAGTAGAATCTTCCATGGCTAAAATATTGCCTTTAAAAAGAGGGAAAGTGTTCAGAGAAGTGGCAGGCTCACTGTAAAGTTCAGAGGAACAGTTAGCACTAACTGGGAGCACCAGCTGTGGGTGGTTGGGTGGATGTGACCTGGATCCCTGGATGATACCCCAGAGCCCTCTTCATCTCCTGTTCAAAGCATTTGGGTCTTGAAACAAAGTTGTTTGTGCAAGGGTCAGTGTCCAGCCACAGCTTTTCCCTAGGAATGGGGGTGCTCCTGCTTTCCCAGTGAGGTGCAATGGCCTGGGAAGGTCAGGGTTGGTGGGAAGAGGCGCTGGGAGGTGTCTGACCCCGCAGGTTCCTCGTCCTGAGCTCAGGCAGTGCCACATTCAGCACAAACAGCAGCTCCATCTTTTCCTGCTTAGATTCATTCCTGCCAGGGGAGCAGAGCTGACAGAACCTGCTGTTTGGGGGTTATATTTTAAGCCCAGGTGGTTCCCTGGCCTGGGCTGGGCCTGTCTGTCCCCCGGGAGCCAGCAGAGCCTTGGCCGGTCCTGGCGTCCCCGCGGCTGCCGGCCGGGGCTGGGGAAATACCAGGGAAAGGGCAAAATCCAGCAAGGCAGGAACAAAAGCTCAGCCTCGTGACTCATAATTGGTGGAACATTTGTAGTAATTTTTTTTTTTTTTCCCTTCCCCTCAGACTTGGCTCCTCCAGCACATGCCAAGAAGCTGCTGTACCCGTTAGACTTGCCAGGCGTGTGGAGGGCTGAGCCTCTCTGCAGGGGATGGGGTGGGATGGAGCAGCTACCGTGGGCTTTGGGATTGCCTGCCTTCCTCTGAGCCCCACAGGGCTCTCCCTCACTGGCCCTGGGAAGGACCTTTCCTTAAAACCCATGGAATTGCCCCATTCCTGTTGAAAAAGCCCTGTGATGAGCGTTGGGCAAAGTTCTTGTTAGTGGTGGCTTTAAATAGGGGAGGGCAGGTGGGACAGCAAAAGGTGGCCTTGCATCTGTAAGTCTCTGTGCTGACTTGACCATCCCCAGGGAAGATGCCGATTGTTTTTTCCAAAAATAGTAATTTTGGGGTTTTTTAAACTTTGAAATCACTTCCCATGTGTTAAAACTCTCCAAGAGTTTCAGCTCTGGTGAACCTGTGTGTAGCTGAAAATGTGCATCCTAAAGAAGAAATGTTGAATTGGTGGTTTGTTGGAGAAAGGATGAATTCTGTCTGTGCTCCAAAGCAGCAGGAAGGTGTTTTCCACCTGGGAATGGAAGCACAGGCCTGAATTTATTCCCAGCAGCTCTGCTGATGTCCAGAAGGTGCTGAGCTCCATGTGGAGATGAGCTGTGCTTGGTGACTGATGATGGTGGAGGAAAGCTGAGAATTAACAGACAGAAAAAAACCAGAGACTGAATGGGCAGGAGCTTATTTAAATTATTTCTGATTTTTTTTTCTTCTTTTTAAGATGGGGAAGTTTTTGCAGGGCAGTGGTGGGGCTGGGGGCATTGGATTTGGAGTGCAGGGTCCCTGTACCACCAAAGGGAGGAAGAAGGCAGGAGCATCCATCCCAGCTGGTGACTCAGCCCTGCTGAGGTGATGCCACGGCTCCAGGAGAGAGCCAGAGGGTTTTTTCTGCTTCCAGCAATATTTAGGATGAACTTAAGGAAGCATATTTTAAAACCCACTGAATGGAGAAAGTGAACGTCTCCCTTCCTCTCCCCCCCAGAAATAACAGGCTGCAGGATTTATGCTAACAAGGAAATTTATGAAGATCCTGTGTGTTAGGAGTAGGGAAAAAAAAAAAAAAAGCCCATTAAATCTGTCAGGCGGATGTGTGTGGCAACTGGGCAAACATTGCCCTTTCCGGGCTGGGGGAGAGGTTCTGGAATTACCTGTTAATAGAAAAAAAGGGTATTTTTGTCTGTAATAGGACAGCAGTTTCTTCTGGGGGGAAATGTTGGGTTTTGAGGACAGGCTCTGGCTTTGCTGTGTCCCTGAGACAGCTTTGGGCTGGGGGCTGGGTCTGACCCAGCACCGCCCTGGAGCCTTTTCATCCCTTCTCCCCTCCCTTCCTGCAGAAACAAATCCTTTAGAAAAGACACAACGTATCTGTGCATCCAGTTTAATCACAGACAGATGTTTGTTTGGGCCAGTAATGGTTTTGGTTTCTTTTTTTTTTTCCTTTCCTATTTAACTGTAGGTTTGCTGGCTTGTCTTCCCCCGTGCAGTCTAGAACAATCAGGGTTTGGCTAAAAACCTCTCCTGGTCGGAGGAGCGAGCCTGTTGCCAAGAGCTACTTCTTTGATGCAAAAAAATACATCCTGGAGGTGCTTTGTCAGATGTTTTTATATTAAACAGCTTTCCTCCATAGTTTCACTTTGCCAACGGGAAATAAAGTGCATCTATTTTCCAGTGTGCTTCAGAGAGGAATTCTCTGCTCGCTGTGGAGGCTTTTCCCACTTGGCTGTGGATGTTGGAACCCCCATGGGAGAGCTGGGATGGCTGGGAGAGCCTCAGAGCAGCAACCTGCCCTCCCTGGGGCTTTGCTCATGTGCAGCTTCTGGGGCTGGCACCAAAGGCAGCTTCTCCAGCTGTGGGGTGAATCATGGATTAATCCCTGGAAGGGAAGGTGGGGAAGCTCTGGGAGCTGCTCCCTGGGCTTTCAGGGCTG